ATGTCGGCACATTCGTAGGACTGTCACCCCCATGGATCGAATGGTATTGTCCTATTGTTAAACGCAAACCAAAATTAGTAAACAACATGGCGGACTCGACTCGCCGGAATGCCCGGGCGTCGATCATAAAAAGTGTGGATAGCTGCTCGAATTCGCCACTCCGGTTCAAATTTTGAGCATAAACAAATATTATACAGTACAAGGATTGCTGCCGCTGCCCCGCGCGTTAGGTATTCCCCCCTGTTCGCCTCCGCGCGTGCCCGGACACTCCCTCGCGTGTCCGGGCGTTAAATAGTAGGACCGCTCTTGCAGTTTTTTTCTAGAAAAACCCCTGCTCTGATAAATAAAATCCACTAAATTAAATCTACTTGAACATGTAAAATAACAATAAAACTCATTGTGAAATTCAAACACAGTGAATATGCTCAAAACATCAAAATAGTGAAATTAAATGTCAGTGAAAATATATGGTTTTATAGTAATGTGTGTACCATATTTATTCTGATAAAAGTGTACTTATTATATGTTAAATCATAAAAATATGGTTTTTAATCCATAGATATCCCTATTTTATTTATGTCAGTGTATACACTATCAATAAAGTAAATACTTACTCAACAAGTCAAAAACAAAATTGTTATCGAGCTGTTCCAGATGAATTATTATAGAATAGCATTTTGAAGTATAGTAAAATCTGTTTTAAATGCTGTGGCTTCTGTTAAAATGGTATAATGCAATATAGGGGGTGCAGCTTTTATTAAAGCATCTACACATATAAAAAATGGAGAACTTTTGGTTCTCAATTGTTCAAAATGAATGGGTGTGGCTTCTGTTAGGAATGCAGCTTCTAATGCAGATTTATAGTAGTCACATTATTGCGTAAGAAACTATTTAAATGGGTTGTAACTCTCCTTATAATACCAAAGTTCAATCACTGTTGAATGATTAATTTGACTTCTTATACTTTGTTCTATTAGGACCAAAGAAGTTCTTTACAGCAGATGGCAGAGCAGTGTGTGAAAGCTCTTGAACAGGTAAGAAAATATAACTTAATGAATCCTTCTATAAACTTGATCTAAATTTGTTTTACAGTTGTTTTACTATCACATGGAAACAAATGTTAAAAAAACTACAGTAGATGCATTAATTATTGACTGGATTTAAATTTTACTCTTTTTGATGATGATGATTGAAAATTGATCCCTGTGAATATCTAAACTACAGAACTCATTGTTTTCATAATAAATTCATGAACCGAGTGAATATTGTCACAATATTGAAATAGTGAAAATAAAGAGTTTTACAGTAGCTACTAATGTACTGTACAAAATAAAGTAATTTAATACACATTTGAAAAGAAAACAAAAAAAAATGGTCAAGACCAATAGTAACTAGGAAATGTTATTTGGTCAAAATAATTTACAGTAAATCATGGCATGGATATGTAATTTGAAAAAGCCTGACCATTGCTTACTACATATATGAATGTTACCTCATGTGTTAATCCACTGTGCTAACTTCTTATATTTCCATACTGCTATTCTAACAAAAGATTTGAACTTGACTCTCACTTATTTTACAGTTTGACGAATCAGTGTTGACAAACATGATGGCTGAAATAAAAACGGCTTTAGGTAGGTTTTTTTTTAAAAAATCAATGTTTTTTCATTCTTATTTGCTGTCAAACCATCTGTTTTTTTCAGCTGTTACAAACTTAATAATATTTTCAATAACATTTTCCGTCAATATGCATTGGAAAATGACAGTCAGCTGGTAAAACTTTTACTGCATAAAATCAATGTCAGCCTCATTTAGAGCTACATCATGAATTGTAATATGGGCAAGAAACTACCTGTGTCATGACAAAATATATATAAAAAGATTATACCTTGTTTTTAGACTGGACATAGTCTGGTGGCTTATTATGCATTGCATTTTGTTCATTTGTCCATTTCTACAGATGCAATTTGATTTGTTCGTGATCCAATTCAAGATGGTCAACTGGAAGCTATTTTCTTTGATACAAATTGTTGTTGTTTGTGTACACTTTGATGTATATCTGTAATTCACAGTCAAATCAGGTCCAAACTTGATGCTCTGGAAATTGTACTTTTGCACATATCAGTGGAAGTACAATACAATATCCAATACAATATGGTTCACCAGCAGCTATTTTGATTGACAACAATCAGCAATTTTCATACTCTTATGAATTATTTTTAATAAATTATTTTTTTATTCATTCATTCAAGGTGGTGCGACTCAGATATAAACATCTCCTTTTTAACATACAACTCAAATACAGCAGACTATTCTGTTGTTGACCTGTACTTATATCATATTATGGACACACAAACACACTGGGAATATTTTTGTTAAAACTTATAACTTTGACATTAAGATACACATAGAGATGCTAAGTTGACTAGCTGTCCAACACCTTTACTTCACTGTGTAGAACTGGAACATCCACTTGTATAAAATAAAGCATATGAGAAAGATTACAATGACTGACTGTAATTACCAGTACTACAAACCAATACATATTCTCATGAGATCTTGTCAAAGTGAGATTTCAATTTGATATCAGCATGCTGCCTGCATGCCCTTAGAAATTTACTCTTTGATGCTATTAGATACGTAACAATAGCTGTCATGTGATTATAATAGATGCTGTAGACAATCCTGGGATGAAAGAAATCAAGGGTTTGGGTGATAGGTTATTTGGATTAGAACAGTTGATGGCTGGTGCTAAGAAGATAGTACAAGAACAAGGAGATATGGCTCAGGTGAGCAGCATTGTTATTCAGGGGTGATGGCAATTGTACTGTGTAGTGTTCAAGTTACATGAGATGCATACAACGCATGTAATATATATTCTTTGCGTGGAATTCAACCAGACTCATCAACACTAAGATCAGCTTTTGTTATTACTATAAAATCTGTATTAAAAACCGCAGCTTCTTTTAAAATGGTACAATTCAATAGAGGGGAAACGGCTTCTATTAGAGCACCTACACAAATGAGAAATGATGAATTTTTGATTCTCAATTATTCAAAAAGATTGGGTGCGACTTCTATTAGGGATGCAGCTTCTAATACAGATTTTACAGTATTAACAAAACTCAAATAAGTTGTTTCAGATATTTTCACCAGTTTTGATCACGACTTGCAAGCAATCAACCTCACGACTATTAAACTTTATAATACTCTGTTTAGTCCAGCAATGTACACTGGTCATAACAAATTGTACAAAATGGTTTTGTAGATGATGCTAAGCGTTGACAATATGGCTTGAAGTAAAAGTTAATTATATGAATAACCGTAGTGTTTGAGTGTAACGTACACACTTCTTGTCAGTCTCTTGTAAATGTTTGGTTACAGATATCCTTAGCCTTGAATGTATTCAATGTTGGTGACATTGTTCATTTACCGGTATATGAAGTCGTATATGCAGTTGTTTAAATTTTCCCAATATATTTCATTGGCTTTACTATCTTTTATTAAATTCTTTCGTAAGGTTATCATGAGATCACTGCACGAAGGCAGTACGGAATCATATTGATTAATGTGTGGAAGTTGATGCGATCCCGTATTGCCCGAGTGTATACTTTTGCGGTATTCTCGTGATTACGTCATAATAATTATGATAATTTTTTTTGTTACAGGGTTTTGTACAAAATCAAGCCAGAGTTAGCAATCTGAATGACCCATCTATATTACCGGATCTATGTACCAGCCATCAGAAACAATTGATGGTGATGCTAAAGAATCACAGTCAATTAAGAGACATCAAACGAAGATGTATTCTCGCTAAAGAAGAATTATCCATTAATCTGCATGCAAGATTGAGGTATTTTAAAGTTTGTTCTCTCTTTGTATCATATGCAGGATTCTTATTATTGAAATCACAATAAAAAATGATAAAATCAGTTGCCTTGGCAACAAATCCTGAAATATTGGAACTCTGAATAAGATTTCCCATGACTATACACATTGCAAATCCAGTATGATGCTTACCGGTGTAGGGGTCAGTGAGAGGTTTTTTTTTTTCATACATACTAAGTGCAAATGCACTTTCAACCTTTTTAACACTAAAATCTACTTTTGTCATTTTTCACAAAATAAAACCACATCATTGTTCCTGTATTTTTGTTATCAAAAAAATTGATTACGATAGGACTCATATGCTGTACAAAATGATGTTAATTTGATTCAAAATTAGGACAAAACTGACAGAAAATATATTAAATTTGCAAAATGTTGGCAGGAAAAATATGGCTGCAGTTCATGACCAAAGTATTTGTAAAAATGTGGAAATAACTATATTGGTTTATTTTGTGAAACATTAAAATTTATCTTCAACTAACCATCCATGTAGTCCAGTTCAACGCCATTGCCAATCTATTACTTTGCATGTTCTCCACCAACAAAAATAATTTCTTTGCACCTGAACAGTGATTTTGATATCATTTACGTATTTTTTTTATTGTAGATGGATAATGTACGTTGAAAAGCAGATCTCAGATATTGATAGTAAGATGGTGATCTATCATGAGAATCTGAAAAGGCTTCGTCGTCGTTTAGAGGTGATTGAACAGATCTATTTGTCTCCTAAGCTGTATGCCATGGCCGTGGTGGAAGTCTATCGAAGAAGAACATTTGCTGGAAAGTTTATTGAAGTACGTAGTGCAAAATAAATATGGTACAGTCTTTTTAGGAGTTTTGTACAATTTTTATGTGGTTTTGCACGTTTCAACATGTGTGCTAGTGACTAGCATTATTCAAGGTGTTTGTGCCACAATAGTGTTAAGTTAGTTCACTACAATTAAACACGGAACAATTTATCACAGTAAATAATTAAAAATGTGTTAAATTTATAATCAAGGTTTTTATGGAGAAAGAAGGCCCAAAGGTGTGTTTCCAAGAAAACATATGCAACCAATCTCTCGGGTAGCATAGTGGTTGTTGCATCAGACTCGTGATTGGTAGACCCAAGTTTAAAATCCTACCTTAGGCTGAACACCTATAGGGTTGACCCCTAGCCTGGGTGAGTGTGCCACAGAGTCAAGATTCGTTCACAAACGAATGCAATTTTGGGGGAACCTTGGTTAAAACAAAAACATACATGTATGCAAAATAAGCAGCCATTTTGGAACATTTTTCATAGGATCCAGGCACCAATTGTAAACTACTAAAAAAACGCATTTTTGATCAATTTTTGAGGAGGTTTTGTGCAAAACTTAGTTCCATGACCCTATACTTTTATTTCAGAATTTTGAATATTAAGTAACCCAACCCTCCGAGTATTTTTTTTAATGGTAGCAAGTTAAGTTATATGTGATTGCACACAGAGAATATGATTGAAGGAAAAACGTTCATTTTCAACTAAAACTACTTTTAAACATGAAGCCTTACAACATGGCAGTACTCATGTTATTTATGTTTTCACTAATACCACCATATTTGCTCTATTAGAAGCGCATGTAAACCAACAGTTACATGTATTGTATACTGTGCCATTTAAACTATGACTTATTTTGACCATAAACAAACTGCTGTCATTCACCTAAGTGCATGCATGACTTGTGATAGAACAAATACAATTTGTGTTCTTTAGTAAGATTCAGTAACACTTTATACATATCCATAATTTATTTATTTATTTATTGGAGAAAAAGACAGAAAGATACCGATAATTGTATGGGGTAATCTTACTTTTATAATGCCTCCTGGAACAGAATTCATATTCTGTGTATGGGGTTACATTTGTATGTTTACAATGACATTATAACTGTTTAATGTCCTGTCGCAGCCAGGTTTGGTCGAACGCAGACAACTGGGTATGAAAAATTTTCTCTGAATCAAATCTACTAATTTATTTATGTTCAGTGGGCGACTAAGTTGAGTGATGAATGTAGTCACATCCAAGGTGAAGAAATCACAAGGAGAATGGAATTTGCTGAAGTCATGGGAAAACATTTTTTACATACCTTATTCCCAGGCCTAGACGATTACCCATCATCCTTCGTTGTAAGTACAATTTTTTCCAGAATAATTTATATCATCATATTACTATTAGCCATTGATAGAGAAAGTGATACAACTATTTTGTGTGTGTGTGCGTGTGGTAACAATGTTGTGACGATATCAATTTAACTTTACACTGATTTGTGATGACAGGACCTACATTGTGACGACCCTCACGATTTTCATTATTTTTATTTTTATTAATATTTAATCAAAATGAAGTCAAATTTCTATAGCTTAGGTTTAGTAATGGGGAAGGTATGGAACAATTTATTAGTCCTCATTCTTACGCATTCATGAATGGATTTTGTTCAAACTTGGTACATACATTAGATATTACAGGTTCCTGATGCACGTCATTTTATTTTTCAGATCAGATTCAGAATGGCTGACTAGCGACCATTTTGTTTTAATGAATGGGCTTCCAGAGCCACATCTCTGACATGTTTTGACATGCTTTGATTATGTTCAAATTTTGTATATTCATTATACATGTATTCAAAATGTCTGATTTTGTTTTAATTAATGCTGTTCCAAAACAATATCTCTCGATATTCGTTTGACGATCAGATACAAATGTCAATCATTTTAATGTTAAACAATCAGCATAATCATATTCCTGACATGTTTATGTTCCAGCTATATTACTATAAACAAAACTATATATCTTAAATTTGATAACTAACAGGGACTGTGCCATGCATGGCTTGTATTAATATTAATATAATTGTACCATACCTACCCTCTTTACTAAACCTAAGCTTCACAAACATTTCTATGTTAAGTCACAGTATATAACCTGTATTTAAATAAACTTGAATTAAAACGCAATTCTACATTGAATTGCATTGTAATTGAGTTTAATTAAACTCCAAATGAAATGCCACTTTGTATAAGAACGCATTTTAATCAAGTTTATATTGCAACTATATTAAAAGTTAATCCAATGTGTGTCATCACAATGATGGTATGATGTGAAGATGTGTGTATGTATGTGTATGCGATGTTTGAAAATGTGTTTGTCAATGTTTCTTTACTGAGGTTGTAATATTGTTATTGGAGACTTACATTGCACTAGCGAATTATTAAAATCACATTCTTTTAGTATTTATAAAGCTTTATTTGGGTGATTTTTTAAATTACTATGTGAAATGTATTATGGTTTTTAATTTGTACAAATTTAAGGAAACTCTATCGTCGTTCAGATTTTGAGGCTTTTCAGCATGACCATGGAAGGTACTAACGGAAGGAGCCACGACGCTATTGTTTTAGCTTTACCCCATGATCGTTTGTCAATGTTTGTTCACAAACATTGTTCTTGTTAGCTTTTAACACCTTCGTACAATGGGTTATGCTAATCTCAAGCATTCGGTAATATTCAGAGCATGTTCGGAA